TTAGACCCGTACTGGCCCAGGAGAGGGTGAGAGAGAGAGAGAAAGAGAGAGAGAGTGGGGGACAGAGCGAGATATAAGCTGTTTGTTGCTGTTGTCAATGCTGCCAATTTGGTTTTCCATCAGTTCAAATTCAAATCAACGGCAGTGCAGAGAGAGGATGTGTGAGAGAGAGATAGGAGTGGAAGGGTGGAGGGGGTGATGGGGTGGGAGGGCAAAAAGAAAGGAGGAGGTGACCAGCAGGAGAAAAGGCAGAATAGTGAGGGAACACTCCGTAAGACAGGGGAAGGGGTAAAAGTTAGATAAGATCACCTAGCTCCTGTGAACACCATCCCCCTGTGTCCTACACTCGCTTCTTATCTCAACTGCTGCAGACACCCTAAAGGGACACACACCAACCACGGGACAGAGAAAGAGAGAGAAAGAGGGGGTGGTTGGAAAGAAAGGAAACTAAGAGACAATATAAGATGAAAGTAAGTACCATGGGAATGGTGCTTACTTAACCGAAGGTAAAGAAGAAAGACACAAACTTCAGTCGTTAAACTGTCACCAGTGTTCATTTTAACGACTGCTGTGTTGGACACAGAGCTTTGACCTTGATTACTGTGTGAAACCTTGACTGGAAGATCCGTCTTTGCCAGGTTTTTATGGGCCCTAACTTACTGCAGGCGCAGCAAAGCTCTGGGCAGCGCAGGGGTTTCTTTGCTACTTTTAGACCGACACAGTTAACATTTTAATATTGGCAGACATCCCGACCTCCAAACAGTCATTTACGGGAGAGCCCTTCCCCACCCTTCTATCCTCATCCTCCCATAATAAATAGAAGGGACATCCTGGGTTTGTGACAAAAAGAATATGTAGATTACATTTACCATTTATGTCAACTTCATCTTATTTTGCAGACCAAGTTTAAATCAATTTAAAAGTTCTTTTAATTTTTAATGGAGTCACCATTAGCCACCTGCTTCAGTAGTAGAATCCACCCAAACCTCAACTCCCTGGTATTTTCATAAGCGTAAAAAAAATAGTAAAAGACTATACTACTCACCCTGATGCAAGAAGTAATTTATCTTTTTGTGTAGCTAGAAAATTATTCCTGCAAATTGGAAACATGTATTTTTAATAGTGCCCCTGCAGTTTTTCTTTGAATGAGAGGTGGTGAAAATATCCACTAATTTGTGTGGCCCGCTGTGGTTCACAGGTTGGTGCAGACAACTCTACAACCTGGATTTTGCGTTTAGTAAATTGTCCTAATAAGGACGTCATAGTGTTCACTCAGGACAGGTCTGGTGACGTTGGAAGGTAGTCACATATGTATTATAAGGACACTTGAGTGGATCAACACAGAAGATAAAGGAATAAATAGATTCATATAATTTGGTTTAAATGTTTCTTTTTTTTTTGTTGCTTATATGGTGTCACTTTCAGAGTTCAACTATAGTAAACTGGCCCTTTGGCAGGTATTATGTAAAAAGTATAAAACAATGACCAAATCACGAGATATATATAAAGGTATGTCTTTGTATGGTCATTTTTGCCATATTGAATTGCTGATTTTACTGAGACAGTGCATTTACCACGTTACCAAACCATGTTTTGATGTTGTATGCAGGTTATTTGGCTACGTCAGCATTGTTAATGTAACACAGCCTTAGACACTTGAAGTAGCAGTCAGATTCAGCAGCTGCAACAATGGCTGTGACACATTACTGAACCCAAAGACCTCATTACACTAAAACCTTGCTGAAATGAGTGGGAACAAAAACAAGGATCTGGAATGGAGATTCCTGACAGCTACAAGAAGACCAACAGATTTTAAACAGCCTAGCCACCATATGTTGGTGTCAAGTGGGCTGGAGTTTGTAAACTATGTGTGTTTTTTCCACAACTGCCTATATACCATATGGGCAACTTGTAACCACATATGGTCAATGTTGTTTGTTTCAAACGTGTGGTCACTTTGTCTCCATGACACTCAACATGAACATGCTAGCGGAATGTTAAACAAGAGAGCATCTGTACAACCAATGATCAGCTACCAAACCTACGACGTGTTCCTGAGTTCTCTTCCTAGAAAACTCAACGTTCTCAACACAGACTCAAAGATTCCGACACTTAGCTAAGGCCCTCAGGATCTGTTTCCTGTGAAACTTTCACTTTAAGCAAAACAACCTCCACTAGAAGCAATCGATACATTGAGTTAAAATTCAATGATAACTGTAGCTACTGTAACAGCTTAGACAGTGCTATTCCTCAGGTTCTGGAGTTAGCTGCCATACATTGGCAAATGATTGATCAGCTTCACATTGACATGTTTGAAATTACTCACGCTAAAATATTTATAATTATAATATGTGTTTCAAATGTGCTTCAGAAATGGTCATTTCAGAGAATGGAAACGCCACATCTAATTTATCCTACTCTAATGTAAGTAGGATAAATTAGGCATTTAGAGCGTGCACCTGCTGGCCAGTAGTTGTATTGCAGTGATAGGGTGGAACAGGAGAGGTATCATAAATACACTTTCAGATTTAATCACTGATGCGTTTTCGACACAAGCCTCAAAAAAGAATGGCGTCCATCCCACCGGAAGAGACGGATCAAAATGGACACGTCAAATGTACAATGGACACAATGTCTTCCATAGTGAGGAACACGCACCATTGCATCTCAGAGTGAAGATAAATCAGAGTTTGACAGTGTGTCTGAACATGTTGAACGGCTGGTAAAACACGGCCCCTGAGAGTCCGTCACTTTACTGCATTGTAAGTAAATGGTCGCGGATCTTGGAGCTGTGCTGTTTTATACCAACTCAAGGTGCCTTTCCTGAGAAAAGAGGTCACGTCCAGCTCTAGGCTGAGGTTCATACCACTGAGTGAAATCTGTGCCAAGTGAAAGGTTTTCCTCATTTCCACGTTCAAAGTTCTTTATTTGTCATATGTACCCTGAAATACTGCTCTAGAATGGGACTACAGGACAGACAGGAAACAGTTACAGACTGGGAAGATTTGAATTTTTGAGTGGAGGTGGAAGGTGAAGTTTCTCCCTCCTGCCTGTGTTGAGTTGATCAGGGTCATCACACTCACCTGTGTCTTTGTCGTTAGTATCACTCGTGTCACCTGGTGCCCTGGGTAAATAAACCTCTCTGCCTCACACAGGGCTTGGTGGCTCATTGTTCAGTGGGTGTTGGTTTATCATGTAGCTCTTGTTTTTCTGTTTTGTTTTGTTTTATATCATTTTCTTGCTTTGTGTTTAAGTTTAGTGTTTTGCTCCTCTGTGGTCCTGGTCATTCTCACCTGGTCCTTTAAATCCCATTGGTGGATATATTGAAGTTTTTGAACGATGAACATTTCCTGAAACTAAGAATCACCTTTCGAGTTCTGCACATGGATCCCACCTGCTCCCTGACTCCAACCCAAAAAATGTAACGTTTTGATTCACTTAAAACTAATAATAATTTACCACCAAATATGTTTCTAAACTCTCCACAATAAAAGTCTTACCATTAGAGCTGTGTGCCTTTGAACTCTATCTCAAAGAGTAATAGACATTTAGCTGTGTACATACTGCAGTGTATTTAATGGGATTCTGTGCTTCAAACATGAGTGAGTGAGTGAATGTCAGGCGTGTAAATCAGAACTCTGCATGCGCTTCCTGTGGGACGGTGCCTGCATGTAGCGTTAACACGACAGGCCCAGAGAGGATGCGGACGTAGCCAAGCTGTCAGTGGCCAGCTCCCACTTTTCCTAATGAGAGAGAGGCCGTTAATTAAAAACACCAACAGGCAGAGCTCCCCAGTGTCCCGCCATCAGGACGACCCAGGGTTAAAGACATAGAGCCAGGAGGATGGAAAGCACGCTGCTTCTACATACAGTACATCCTGCTGCCCTCAACAATAAATAGCCCCCAGTATGTTAAAAGAACAAAGTGACGCGCCACTGTGAAAGGCTGTGGTGGTTTGTGATTTTTTTTTTCTTCTCAAACTGCAGTATTTGGATTCCAGGGAAGGGGCCTGTGATATATATATGTATATATATATTTAGTCCTGTTTCCACATAGTTCTCCTTGTGTACCTTTTATTTATTGCTTTATTTATTTACTCTGCATCAGAATTTCAAAACAAACACCTGTATTTACAGCATGAGGGCAATTTCCCTGAAAGTGATTCATGTGGCCGCAGCTCTATTGTGCAGTCGTCGTTGCCAGTGTTTTATTAAACTGTCAAACACGTGAATCATTAGTCTTGATCCACAGAGTGACAGTTTGTCAGTTCTCTGACAGTGGCATGTGCCCCGCTGTCGACAGGAGGACGGTGAGGGAACGGCTTACACATTCCCTACGGCTTCTTCGCCTTCCTTGCCTCCTGCGTCTCCATCTTCTTTCCACCCCCACATGTCAGCCCAGGTGCTAACAAAACCGAGGATTGTGGGTAGTCTTGGAACATATGGAGCAGAGAGATGGAGAAATGAAGGGTGGAGGGAGGGGAGAAGGGGTGGGGGAGAAGCTGTCAGGGAAATGTCTCTCCCTGTCACAGCAGCCAGAGGAGTGCGATGGACAAATGCATAACTGCTATTCCAGACCAGAGTGGAAGCACTTTTAGATTCAATGCTTTTTGCGGGTAGAGGCTTTTTATGCAAACTGATCTTGAATTCTTTTGTTTTGTTTTGTTTTTTTGCTCCCTATTTTATTTGTAGCTCTGTTTGATGATATGTATTGTGTTTATATATTCTGTTTATACAGATGCTGAAATGCTGTTCACTGTACAGAAATATTCAGAGGCGCAACCAAGACGCGAGCAAAGTCTCTGGGAAACAGTGACAGAGTTTTAGAGCTGTGATTACAGGCGTACTTTTTGTCTCACTCTTTGTGTGTGTGTGTGGGGGGGGACTTACTGATAATAGCTGAAGCCCATCCCTCCTTTTGTTTCTCTTATATACTGCAATCAATTCACACAACTTTTCTCTTACTCTCTCTCCCTCCTTCTGTCTCCCTGTCTCATGTAGGCTGTGCCTTCCTCACCTACTGTGCCAGAGAGTCAGCCCTGAAAGCCCAGAACGCGTTGCATGAGCAGAAGACCCTGCCAGGGGTAAGTTAAAGGCCGCGCTCCCCATGTTGATCCAAAAGAAACACCCAGAGAAACACATTGTTAGACGGGTTGTTATTATTATTTTTCAAATCAAAGGGGTCTAACGTCTTCATCTCGCTTGTCATGTACTGTTTATCACTGACTGTGCACCAGAGCCACAGCCCTGCCTTTTCTTCAGCATCCCTCCTCATCCTCCTCCTGCCCCCACCCCCTCCCACACGTACCCTTGTCCTCGCTTCCCTTCCTCTCTCTTCACTTTGACTGTCACACACGCAAACCCATAGGGAGGAACCACACACAGCATCACATCATAGGCCTACTATTTATAGTTCTTTTCTCCAGTTTGTGTAAATGAGTGTGTGCCCTGTGTGGGTGGTTGGGTGGGTGTGTGTGTGTGTGTGTGTGTTTGCATGCATCAGATTGTGGGCAAGTTTGAGAGATAGACAGAGAAGAATGTGTGTATGTGGTGTGTAGGCTATTGGTACATTTATGTGCACGCTATGCACGAGGCCCAGTGCTGGCTGCTACATGGTCGTGCATCACGGACGTGCATCATCACAGCCTGTCATCCCGGCAGATGCTGTGGATTTTGTCACGCACATAATGTATACAATGCAACTGGATGACACGTTTTAATGTACTATCGTTGCATGTACGACAGGGTGAAATACGACAGTATGCAGAACAGTGTGTATTGTGTGTGCGCGTGCCTGCATGCAAGAGATAATATGGATTGTGAGCTGTTTCTTCGGTGCATATATGATTTAATGAGTAAATATTTGTGTTGCCGTGTGGGCGTGAATATCTTACAATGCATATAACGTATGACATGCTTAAGTATGCATGCAGCTGAACGTGCATGCATCCGTGCTCACGTTTAGGACGCCACTTAAAAACGGCGCACACACACACACACTACCCCGCATGTGCGTATGTGTGCATTAGTGAAGTTTTGATGCATCTCTGTCAGGCCTGACTCAGTTTGTTCTGCTCGTTTTTAATGACGCCTCCAGGGAAGCTGACAGTCGCCGTGTTGTGCGCGCAGCCTTTGATGTGAGTGATTATGACATCACAGACTTGCAGCTGAGAAGAGCGGAGGAGTTGGGATCTGTGCTTCCCTTTTTTTTTTTTTTTTAAACTTCCCACTGGCATATTATTCAGAAAGAAGAAAGTAAGGGAGGAAGAGACGGAGGCATGAAAAGAGAGAAAAAGAGGAGAGATTAAATATTTGGCTAAAACCAAAATGCGATTGTGTGTTCACACAAACTGTTCTTCCAACTGATGTCTTTTCCTTTGTTGCTGTTGTTTTACATCCATCAATATATGAGAACAAAAGTGACTGTTTTATTATCACTGTCTTCGCCTCTTCAATGTAAATTGATGGTATTTGGCTTCACGTGCTAGCCATGTATTAACAGCAAGTTAGAGTCATCAGTCAGCTCTGCCTCTGCCAGTGAAGGACAGTCTCATGGTTTCATTTGATTGATGGTAAGTGTTAACTAAACAAAAGTAATGCCACAGAACAGACCTAGATGCTCAACAAACCCTGAAGCCAAGCATTCTGAGGAGCAGACCAGGAGACTGTCTTTTGTTGCTGGAGGAGGTAAAGGCAGCAAAACAGAATAAATGAGTTCATTAGAAACAGAGCGAGGACTTGGCCCTGGGAAAGGAGTTGAACATTTTATAGCACATGACTTAACCCACTTTCCTTTTCCTTTTTTTTTTGCACTTACCTTTCTTTTTTCACTTTTAATCCTCCACTCAGGGCAACACAACCCAAACCCTGAAAATTAAATCCCTCCATTTCGTCTCGAAGCCTCTTTACCTTTCACTTCAGGTCCTGATGTGTGTTTTGTCAACAAAGTTGCTCCCCCCCCCCCTTTTTTTTTTGCCATCTTTTTCTTTTGCTGCCAGGTGAGCCAAGAGAAGAGGGGATTTGACTTCCTAGTGGAAATGGCCTGTAAGCATCGCTGTAGGCTGTTGGTGTAACTCAGACAAAGTGTGTATGTGTGTATGTGTGTACGAGTGTGTGCAGCAGTGTCAGGAGAGAGCTTGGGTAAACAGACGACAAGCAAAAATGCACCGACATTGAACTACTCCTCACAGGCGACAAACCGTTTTCACCTCCTGTGCTCCATTATAATGATAGAAACGGAGCCATGAAGAATAATGTTTAAAAATAAATTAATTATCTCCTGATATAATTAAAAGGAGTTGTGATGGCACCGGTACCAGCCGTTTGAGGACAAAATTTCCTTGATGATAAATCAACAGCAGCAGAACATTGTCTAAATCATGGGTGCATGAATAAACAGGCTTTCTGAGTGCAGGTCCAGTCCAGTGCACATTGTTTTATAGGAGCAAAGCACCAGATTACTCTACTATATATTTTCCCTTTCTCCCTTTCATTTCTTCTTCCTACAAATGAAAATTCAGTGGATATATCGGTTACTATGACAGCTTTTGGTTACAAAATGCTCACAACCAAAATCACAAAGAACCTGAGTAAAATAAATAAAATAAAGTTTTAGTGTTGTATCGTGTTTATTTGCACACATCTCAAGAAAACTGAATATTTGTGTAGCTGGGAAGAGTACGCTTAAAGTTGAATGATGCAACTGCTGAAGGTTGAATTAGAAAATTGGTTCCCAATGTGGGGGGCTGGACCCCCTGGAGGCCGTGAAAATGGAAATGAACCAAGTGTTTCAATCTCACAACTGCAGCCCTGATTCAAAGACTTCCTAAGGCATGCCCTTGAAAATAATGACAACGTCACACATTTAGTCATTGATGTTGCAATAACATAAACGGAAAATGTATAAAATGTATAATGAGAAAAGCAGTTTCTACCTTGTTTATCTGGTGGGCGGGTTTGTCTTCAGTCCTTCCTAAACGAAGAGGCTCAGAGCAGAAGTTTGGGAACCACTGATTAACAGGGCTAGTATATGCTGCCAACGACGTTACAGTTTAAAAAGTTGTGTGTATTGTGCTGGAGCTGAATCAATAGTGCTTTTTTTAAAAATAATTCCCAGAAAGTGACACACATGCACCGACGTGCGGGTGCTCACTGTACTCTAGAGAGAGCTCGACAATAGAACCTGACGATGGACACTCACATGGGGACGTGACTTAAAAGGTGTTCTGCTGCTACAGAACTGATATAAAGCTTGTATGTATTCCTTCCCCTTTGGATTATCTTCAGTTGCAGTGTTTGTTTATTTATAACTCCTGCGGAATTGCGCCGTATATGTTTTTACACCAAGGCAATACACAGCTTAATGTTTGTGCGTGGTGATTTTAGAGCAGCAGTTTTTTTCTCTAACTGATGGTATTTCTGTTAATATTTGATATGAAAACGTGTGAAAACCCATCCTGTGCCTTTTGTGGAAACACTTTCAAAGTGTTGTTGTTTGTGGAACTGCAATGTCTGCAACATGAAATGCAAATGAAAGAGATTCCACGGTTCTCAGGATGATAAACTGGGGAGTTTTATTTTCTTTCTTTGAGAGGGTATGTGAGACAGGCCAGAAATGGGGCGCGTCCCTAACGTCAGGCCCCCGGCTGGTGTGTTTGTGATCTTGCGCTCCAGTTTCAGGCTCATACTACAGTGAGAGGCATTAAAAAGCCTCTATTGATTCTGGCAAAAATCCTCGCGAGTGGGAAGTATGTGATTTTGTGCGAGCACGTGTACAGTATGTGGTTTTTGGAGTGTGTGCGTGTACAATTGGAGTGAGTTGAAAATAGCAAAGCCGCAAATTCTCCTGCACGCGCATATTTTTCACATGCAAAAATAAATAAATAAATGGGTTTAAAAAAATTGGCTTCCAATCAAAGGCGCTGTCAGATATAGAGTACAGTCTTCGATTTCACCTTGTGCCCCCCCCACGCAGTGCCTACAGTACGAGGAGTATGACATTCTTGAATACTTGAAGTGAAACAATGTGCAGGTACAAAACACAACTCTGTTAAATGACGTCATGTAGCAGTAACACAACTCTTCCATTCAAGGAATAAATGGAAAGGCAGAGAGATGAGAA